TATGAAACATCGCAGCCAAATAACGCATCTAACAAAACAAATACCACACAAAACCTCACTTTTACTTGTTCACACCGTCAACAATATTTTCTGAGCTCTATACAGTCAGAATAACACAAGGGCTTTAAATAAAGATACAGAGAAAAAGTAAAAGGGGGAGATAAATATGAATATACCTTGAGGCCCATGATAAGGTTCTTCTCCGAATACAGATTGAAACAACTGGGGAGATGAATAATAAAGTAAACAAGGGGAGAGAGAATAAAAAAGTAGACAAGGGTTTTTTTTTTTTTTTTTTTTTTTTAATCATTTCGTAGACGCAAATCAAATTTTTTTGACCATTGCAAGGCTTGTAATCCAAGCAAAAATCGGTGATATGCTCAATCTACGACCAATATCACCATAATTGATTTTAATTTCTCATTTATAGCCCATGATTTATCTCAATATCGCCATAATTGATTTTAATTTCTCATTTATAGCCCATAATTGAGATAAATCAGCATACCAATGCCACCAAATTGATTAAATTAGCGCATCTCATCATGAAACCAAAAAGTCTACGGTTGAGTTATTACAATACTCATATATATATACTGAATTTAATTTTATTTATTTTGGTTGGTTGAGCTGTAAATACTTAAAGCATATATAAGGTGGTAAATGTATTCATAAATCTCAACGATAACTCATTAGACACCTTTAGTGAATACTATCAAAATCACCAATCAATCTAACATAGTGAATGGAGTATTAAATAAACAATATTATTAATAGTATAACGATTCATATCATAAACATGAATATACACGAATCGACCTGTGTTTAAAGTTAGGTTGCTTTACACAAGAATTTATGTTCAAATTTTATGTCACGTCATGCTTGTATCATATAGTGGTATTCAAGGAATAAATAACTCAATACATTGTATCCAAACATTGATTAAATGTAATTGGTGATTGCTTCTTATAAAATAATCACCACTCCAAAATCCAAACTAATTAAAAAGAGAAAGCTAGATTCTCACATGGGATGCTAGGCAAGCATGGACCATAGGATCATGCCTTGGTACACATGCGTAATGATCATCATAAAATCTCTAGGTTATGCTTATGGCCTACATGTACACAAGAGGCTAATTATAGTAATTACACAAAGTCATTTTATATTTACATTGTTGGAAATTATAAAAGTATTCTTTGATTATAACATGTAGTTAAACACTCTACTTAATTAGTTGGTTAGTTATGTAGAAATGTTGAAACAAAGAAAAAGAAAATAACAAGAAAAAAAATACGAATATTTTTCTTTCCGATATAAAAATACGAATATCTAATCTATACTTATATTAAAAGTCATACTATTTATCAAAAATACTAGCAAAAAAGTCAACTCACATTTAATGCATACTTTATTTAGAATTTTTTTACTATGTGCATAATTGCTTGCTTATAAACATTTTCTATTCAAATATGATCCAAAAGATTCTTTCCTTAAATAATTTTACTAACTTCTGCAATGATTTTAATGATATATATTATAATTCATATTTGTCGATGGTATTTTTAATTTTTATTTGAGTATATAAAAAACAAATATTTTTTTAAATTAATATATTATTTATCATTTAAGAGATAATGATCATATCATTAAATGATATTACTGATGGCTAGATAATAAATTAAAATACATTAGTTATTCTTAAAATTTTTGGCATGTTATTTATTTGTATCTATACTTATTATATAAGGTATCATATTTACCAAATTTAGTAGATTGAAAAGGCAACGTAATCAATGCATTGTTATTTCTATCCAAAATTTTATTTAATTATTTTAATTATTTGTCTTATATCCCATATAATCAGTTTAAGAAAAAAAATCCCATAACATCTGACAAGTCAAAAAAAAGACGTAAAATCTACTAAAATAAAAAGACTTTATTTATTTGTTTTATTCCATATTAACATCGATTTTGTCAAATAAATCCCATAAAATCATTGAAGTCAAAATTTGTACGTAAAGTCTATCTATCCAAAAAAAGAAGTCATATTCAAAATTTCTTATCTAATTTCTTCTTTTTCTTATATAATTCCTTCTTTTCCTTATCTAATTCCTTTTTATTATCTAATTGTATGAAAACCTGTTCTAATTTTGGTCAATCCTCTAATTGTATTTGTATTCTATTCCATAAAATCGGTTTAACAAAAAAAATCTCATAACATCCGATAAGTAAAAATACAAAGTACGTAAAATCTTTACTAAAATAAAAAGGATTTATTTATTATCTAATTTATATGAAAATCTGTTTTTGATTTTATGGTACGTACTACAAATTTTGCATCCGTGTTCAGGAGCTACTTAAAGGGCAAACTATGTGGAAATGACTTATTTAGTGCTCCTGTCCCGTGCATACGGTATGTATTTTTATTACACATACTAGAAAATTGTGCACCATATGCATCGCACGGGCTCTGTACTATGACCTTAAAATTGTGCACCCCGTGCATCACCCGTGTTCACATTTTGGCCTATTACAGGTCACATAATATATATATATATCCCGTACATTTCTTTTATTCATTTATATAATTATAAGAATGGATAAATGACCTTAAAATTGTGCACTCCGTGCATTGCACGGACTCTGTATACTTAAAAGAAGTGCATCTGATTCCAAGACCTACGGTTGTTTTTTTTATTCAGAATTACTCAAAGCATCTTTGATTCTTGGATCTATAAATTTTCACCTCATGGACCACAAATAGAGAAGATAATTAAAATACAATTAACACACAATTAGACACAATATTAGAAATTAATTAATGTAACTTCAACAATTGGTCTTTCATAGTAGACTCAGTCAAACTCAGACGTGACCGACCGTCATGTTTCGATGATATACCTACCATTATCCAAATACCAAAGTCAAACAAAATCACATTAGAATATATAATTATGTTATTTGGGAGACCAAAGTAAGCCCTTTATTTCATTACGCAATTCACTTTAAAAATGCTTTTGCCTAAACCTTGCACAGTTGGAATGTAACAACGTGAAAAGCTAAGGTCCCGTTACGGTACCATCCCGTCGGATGTTTCAACCGTTGAATATACATGTAGTTAGTATAAGATAGATGATTCAAATGTTAAAACATTCGACGGCATGGTACCATAACGGGACCATAGCATTTCCCTGTAACATATTTGGTAAGTGAATGCATTTGTTATGACTAATAAACAAAATAACACTAGCTTATATATATTCTAGCATTTAAGTAAATATAACAATACAATTATATAGGATATATTCATATGGATCATAATATGATCATATTTCCATGGAATTTTGTGATTGATCACGTGTGCTGCAAATTATGGAATGATAATTAACTAATCTTTTGTGAGGAATAATGTAGAAAACTGGATCATCGAGCACTGAACATGATTTTTTTATTTTTTTTTAAGTAGGATTATATATCCAGGGGCATGCATGAGGCTTTTAGATGAGGGCAAAAGCATAATATAGGCAATAATATATAATGTTATAGATCCAATGTTCTTTTGAGATTTGAGAATCATGGGATTTCCAAGAAGATTAATGATCACAGGTGCAAATATGAGTTCCATTAAAAAAACAACAGTGAAGGTAAATTCTATTTTTACCCTCATGTAATGGGCTAGATCAAAATGACTCAATTAAATTCTAGTCTTTTGAAGTTTTTAGAAAAAAAATATATATATATATATATATATCAAACGACACAATGCACCTTGGGTCGCTATGAAAACAGCCTCCTTGTATAATTACAAAGGTAAGGTATGCGTACAACTGACCCGAGAACCCCAACCAATTGAGAATATAATGGGTATATTGTTGTTGTTGTTGTATTTGCTAATGTTTTTGCTAATCATAGTGACGAGAGGATTACCTTGTCTAAACTGTTGTGTTGTTGAAAGTTGTTATCAGCTGTGGATCTGTATTGAGGTGGTCTGCTTAAAGGATCTGATTAGGTATGGGTGGTGGGCTCAGGCCCACTTTCTTCAGTTTATAGACATCCCAAGCAGTCTCTGACATGACAGTAACATGATATTTGTTTGGTACAATTACACAACAAAAAAGCCACGGACCCATTAGGCCATTACTCTCAACAACTCCCACACCACAAATAACCCAAAAGATATAAAGTAAACTTGAAAAAGAAAACACTCACCTTAAAAGCATAAATTGGTGAGCTGTTGCGAGCTCAAAGTTGGGTGGACATGTAGATCCAAGCTTGGTGTGCCTAAAATCGGATGGGCCCAAAACTAGCCCAAGCCTGTTCTACTCTCCACCCTGGCGGGCCTTATATCGAGCCAGCATGCATGACTGGCTGACCTGCATTCTCTTTTTCATTTATTCCACCTCCCTACACTCTTAATTATTTTTTTATTTGAAAAAAACAAAATGTAACTTATGTATCACCAACAAAGTAAAAATCAACGGTGGTTGCTCCTAGTTTTAAGGATTACTGTCAGAGCTATAACCTTTGCAAGAGCTAGATTTGATTCTAGTGTTGTAGTAAAAAACTAAGGAGCAAGAAACTCCACATTGAACCGATCTAACAAAAAACAACATTCAAACTTCCCTAAGAAATGAGTCCATATGTATGACCAACAGTTTGGTGTCCCCTAAGAGGGCAATTTAAATAAAATCAAAAACAAAAACAAATTTTGTCCTTCAATGAGTTGAAGAGATTTTAGTCTACAGTTCTCCAATACAAGCCACAAGCAGATAGAAAATGGTACATTATTTTCACATAATTCAAATTTCAAAGATAAGGTCTTTTTAACCCATAGCGTACTTCTGGGTCCAGCTCCTTGCAGTTTGCTCGTACTTAGTCCGGTCTGTCTTGTACATATGAGCTATCTCTGGCACCAGAGGATCATCGGGGTTGGGGTCGGTCAAAAGCGAGCATATAGAGAGCAAGACCTGAAGATACACACAAGCAAAATTTTGACATTTTGAGAGCCCCAAAAAACAAAAAAAAAAATGGTTGTTAGAAAAAAGAAATGTCCAATCGCTTTTCCAATGCTATCTTGAAGCACATTTGCGAACATAGAAAAACTAGAACTTGCACTTTAAATCAACTCTACCAGACAACCTGATCATAACCGTCTGCTCGAATCACATATGGATGAAAGTTGTTCTTAGAAAAATAATTGCTACAATATGTTCAATGCCGAACGTAAATACAGTTTGTCCACAGAAAGAAAATCAGAGGGTGGATAGTGTAATGAACAACCCCAAAGTTTATCAAATGTGAGAAGATGGATAAAAAAAGTAACCTTTGAAATGGTCAAGGCAGGGCTCCACTGCTCCTTCAAGATATCAAGGCAAATACTCCCATTGCTGTTAATATTTGGGTGAAACACTTTAGTCCTGAATGCAACCTGCAACAATCATATTCACAAAAGAAGAAAAATTAATATTGTGCAAAGTTAAAACAATATTCCAACTTCAACATATGAACAGATGTTGTTCGGACTAGAAGTTCGAAGGAAGCAAATGGCTATAGAGCACACAGCAATCCCCAGGTACACTTCCAAACAAACTTTAACACCAAATCGAACATAATGATTAATGATGGTGCACCGGCACCAAAGAAATGTCAAATAACATGTCAGGAATTACAAAATAATAAGACAATCAGACTATCCACTGCTTTCAAATTAGGTTGTAGATGAAGACAAACATGCTGACAACAGAGCTCCCAGCAATCTTGTAGCAGCAGATTTACCCGGCTCTGCTTTAATTTGCTACAAATTGCACTCTCGACAACCCTAAACTTAACTTAGTTCTTAATATTCTAATTTTCTATAACCATGGTAAAAGTAAGGGATCCCATATATGTTTGAAGTTCCTTAGCTTAAACAATTTGTGATGGCAAAAAATGCATATACAATTATACATGAGAGGCAAAATGAAGATCTAGGGTGATTACACAACATAAAGGATGAAACAAGAAAAGACATACACAAGGGATGGGGGACCAAATGATAAACTATATTAGTGGGGTAACAATGGTTGAGGATTGAACATAATTTGTAGCATCACAGACGTATACAAAACAACAATAAAATCAACAGCCCCTATAATCTGACATATGCATTCTTTTCTTGTCAACTATATTACAAGAACGGCTTTTCTACTACACTTACTCCATGATTTTCCACATAGAAATGATTTTAAAACCCAATGTCATCTCCTAGTTGCACGCAATATTCTCCTCATTCAGCATGTATCATCAGTTAATAACTTAAGCTATTGGTGGGAACTTCTAATATCAGTGAACTTCTAAATGATAGTCAAATTTTTGAATGCCGACTTTTATTTGTGTTTGCACATGCATATGCATCAAATGAAATGACTGCAAGCAAATAGATCCATGAAGTAGCCCACCAGCATATGTTTCAAATAGTTATTTAGTGGATTATAAATTGGAAACTGGAACAAGTCCATGATTAAATCATTTCGAGCACACCTTTGGTGGTTTGAATGGGTAGTCGGGTGGGAAATGAATAGTGACCAGAAAAACTCCCCCAGCATAAGGGCTGTCTTGAGGACCCATTATCGTTGCTTGCCAGTGGAACATATCCTCACCAACAGGACCTGTCAGCATCACATGAAATAAACCAATAGTACATTTGTTATCATATATAATTTGTATGTCAACAGATGGGCACAAACCATACAACCAAAAATGCCAAATTATAGATGAAAAGCAGCACAAATATAATTCTCCAGCTCGAGAGCCAAAACGTGCATCCAGTGGTTAAATGCATACTAACTCACAAGTCAAAATAATCAAAAGGATCTTCTATCCAAATCTTCAATATAAAAATAATACATCCAAGCCCATTTTTCAATCTAAGTTATGATTCAGCATACTTATCATTATGAACTATTTTTTTCGCCAAAAGAATTTCCTCTTCAGCTAACAAACAATTTCTAATATAAATAACAAATTTAGAGAAAAAAAACAAAGGGAAATAGAATTCGTCCACCACCAGTCCACCATCTTCAGCTACCGGAATCAAAATCAGAAATCCACAAACATACTACAGCACAAGTAAGCACCCTACCTACCATCAACAAATCCATATGAGATACAAATGACAACACACGAGCTAAAATCGTCAAATCCACACGGATCAAACGCCATAGATGACCGATAAACGAATCAATTCAACAACAAACATAAAATCAAAAAAAAAAAAAAAAAANAAAAAAAAAAAAAAAAAAAGAAAGTAGGTACCGGCGCTGCAGGAGGTAGGTGGATCTTTCTGCAAATCCTTCAGCTCCTTGAGGATCCTTTTCGACGCCATCGAGCAAATCAGCGAGGAACGATTCCGATCTGATGAACTTTTTTTTTTTCCTCTTTTTGCAAGACGAGAAAGGACCAAAGCGAAAGAAAATGTTAAATGCGAGGATAAAGGCGTATATGAAGTTGCTGATGGGCGTATGTATACATACATATTGTGTATGTATAGGAGACTAGCTAGCTGCCCGAGTAATGTGCACGCGAAGAATTTTTGGCTTTAGTTTAAAACTTTTTGCTTGAATAACAACTTATTCTTTTTTTTTTTTTTTT